CTGACTCCCCTTTCCACCCCCTCCTCCACTGGAATTGTATCACTTTATGCTGGTGGCAAGTTCCATGGTGCCCCCACCCAGCCATGAGGGATTGTAGCATTTTATTTGGGGAGGGATGGGGTGTTGGAGCGAAGCGATCCAGTCCATGTGGGATTGTACCCCTTTTCGCTAGAGGTGAATGCTTGGTTCTAAACCCCCAACTGACTCCCCTTTCCACCCCCTCCTCCACTGGAATTGTATCACTTTATGCTGGTGGCAAGTTCCATGGTGCCCCCACCCAGCCATGAGGGATTGTAGCATTTTATTTGGGGAGGGATGGGGTGTTGGAGCGAAGCGATCCAGTCCATGTGGGATTGTACCCCTTTTCGCTAGAGGTGAATGCTTGGTTCTAAACCCCCAACCCACAGTGGATTGTCTGATGATTGATGTTGGAGCCAGGTCTACCTGGGCTTTGTACTGCTTTGTTGGGGACGGTGTAGTACACTGTCGGGACCAAGTCTCCCTCAGCTCCCAGGGAGTTGTACAAACTTGGTGGCGGGTGGTCCAGCGTCAAGGCTGTACAAGTCCATATGGGATTGTACCATTTTGTCATGGGGGGGGGGGGGTTCAGTGTCAGGGATAAGGCTTCAATCTGTATGTGGAATTGTACCACTTTGCGGCGGGGTGTCCTTGGTGCTAATAACCCCCTTCCCCCAGACGTGGCAGTGGCGGAGCTGCATGAGCTGCTGTGCAAGAAGCTCCAGCAATGCTGCGTGCTCTTCGATTTCCTGGACTGCGTGGCTGACCTCAAGGGCAAGGAGATCAAGCGGGCGGCTCTCAACGAGCTGGTGGAGTGCGTGGCCACCAACCGTGGCATCCTCATTGAGCCCGTCTACCCTGAGATCATCAAGATGGTGAGGGAGCAGGGCAGGATGCCTGGTTCTCTCCTAGTGCCAGGAGGGGAATGGGTGCTGATGGGGGCTAGAGTTGGGGGCTAGGAACCAGGACCCATGGGAACGGGACCCAGATCTGAGGGGTCTAGTGGGTTTGAGGGCAGGGGGGGGAGAGTCAGGAGCCAGGACTCCTGAGTTCCATGCCTTTTCCCATTGCCACTGACAGGGTCCTTGAGCATTCTGGGTGGGAGCCAGGCATGAAGGTAACTTACATTTCTTACACGTGCTGTTGTATTGCCCCCCGAGGGGGGCTTAGGGCATGGCATTGGGGGATGTGATATGACAGTACCTATAAGAAAATGTGTAGGGTGGAGTGTGGAGGGGCTGAGAGCAGGAGTTTGGGGGTATGTGTGGGTATGAGGGGGCTCAGGACGAGTGGGAATGTGTGGGGTGCAGGAGTCGGATTGAGGGGTATGAGGAGAAGCTCAGGGCTAGGGGTGGTGCAGGAATCAAGGTTGGGAGTGTGAGGGGCTCAGGGCATATGGTTAGGGGGAGGTTCAAGAACTGGGGTGTGGGGAGAGCAAGCCCCCCCCTTTCCTAATGATTCTGCTTGTTGCTTGCTGTGATAGGACAGCCCGCAGGGTGGGTCACTCACTAACCCCTCTGCCCCCTCCCACTTCAGCCAGGAGGGAGAGGGCTGTCAGGATACTGTGCTGTCCTCTCCCTCCCTAACAGCGATGGAAGGGAGCAGCAAGTAACAAACAGCATGGGTAGGAGGTGGAGGATTCAGCCTCTTTGCCCTCCCTAAATGGTGCTGGGGGTGGATCTTGGTGTTGGGGCAGTTCCAGACCAGTGTGGAGCACACCCCGGTTGGTCCCTTTTGCTTGTCTGATGCTTAGCACAGCAGCCTGCAGGTGAGAGCCTGGCTGAGAGCACGCTGCACCTCCTCCTGCAGCCAAGTGCCCCAGCAGGGTCTTACTGGAGCGGTGCACTGGAGTGCACCACCTTACTTTCACTTTCGGGTGGGATTGTCAGTGGTGAATGGGGGGTGGAACAGGCTGGATTGGGGTGTGAGGACTTGGTGGGGGCGGTGCGGTTCGCTGGGCCCAACTGACTCCTCTCCCCTTCTAATCTTGCCAGATCTCTGTCAACATCTTCCGGACGCTCCCGCCCACCGAAAACCCTGAGTTTGACCCTGAAGAGGACGAGCCCAACCTGGAGCCCTCATGGCCCCATCTACAGGTGCGACACCCGCATGGAGCCTGTGGCAGCACTCACATTCATTTGGGAGTAGGGCAGGGGTAGGGGCATACAGAACTCCTGCCATTCTTAAGGGGGCGTGTACTCAGTGCTTTTTTTTGTGATGGTATGGTCTACTGTCACCTTTTTTTGGGAGCACTTGCACTGTGGCTGACAGAAGCCTGCTGGGGGGACACAGCAATTAAAGGGGCTGTGACCGCATTTTGGCCCTGCTTTTGTTGTTTGTTTGGGGGTTTTTGATGGTTTTTGTTCAACAAAACCATTGGAACTCTAGTACCAGCACCTTTTTTACCAAAAAGCACTGCATGTACTTATGGGCAGTGGAGCAGGCCTGTGCCGCAGAGTTGGGTGGCAGAGTGCTAGGATGAAAATAGTCTGTGGTGGGGGCTACCAAGCATTCGGTGTCATTTCAATTCCCTTTCTCAGCTGGTGTACGAATTCTTCCTCCGCTTCCTGGAAAGCCCTGACTTCCAGCCCTCTGTGGCCAAGCGCTATGTTGACCAGAAATTCGTGCTGCTGGTACGTGTACCTGGGAAAGCACCAGGGTTGGGGTTACTGAGGGCTGTGGGGGGAGTGGATGATCATGCGGGGTTGCTGGGGTCTGAAGAGACAACGGGTGAGCCAGGGAGCTGGAAGCCTGGCTCTGGCTGGGATGCAGTAATTTTGCTGGCTCTCAGCCTGACTGAGCTCCAAGCCTCCATGATGGGGCATATTGGCTGGCGGCAGACACCCCCAGAGCCGGACAGGCCCATTGTGAGCATTGTCTCCTGGAGGTGGGTGCAGGGGGAGGGGGCTTCACCCACTGCAGCCCATTGTGGGCTGGGGACGCAGGCGAGAGCCCCAGAGCACAGGTGGGTGGATGTGGAGCATCTAGAGAAGCCTCAGCAGGCGTTGGACTGACCTAATCAGTGCACCTATTGTCAGAAGCGATACGAGGGGGAAGAGAGGTCGGTTAGGGGGTGGGAAGCGCTAACTCCCCCAGGGAATGTTCAGATGGTGCTGGGATGAAGATTGGTGGGGAGCCGGCTGCAAGGTCATCTCTGTGACTCTCTCCCCTGCCCCCAGCTGCTGGAGCTGTTTGACAGCGAGGACCCACGGGAGCGCGAGTATCTCAAGACCATTCTGCACCGGGTCTACGGCAAGTTCCTGGGGCTGCGTGCCTACATCCGCAAGCAATGCAACAACATCTTCCTGCGGTGAGCCCCCAGGCAGCATGGAGCTTGCAGTGAGGCAGATGGGCTGCCCTGGCATTCCAGGAAGTCTCTCCTGGGGAGGTGGACATGGGATGTGATTCTCTGGGCATCATGGCTCTCCTGGAAGTGTATCCCCAAAGCACAACCCTCCCCATATCCTCTTGGTTTTCAGGTGCTTGAGTTGCATCCCCTGGTCTGTGAGAGGGGTGGGGCCCTGAAGTCCACCATTTACCCAGGTCTCCATGCCCCATCATGAGGGGATGTTCCCTGAAGGGTCCCTGCCCCATATTCCCAGTGTGTGGGGTGGGGAGCTCACCCCCTAAGTTTGACCATGGGGTGGGGGTGCTGTACAGGGCTGCCATGAGCTCAGCCCATGCTATAGCTTGGGCTGCCCAACAGGAAGCTGTGAAAGGCTTCCTGGGAGTGTGCTCCAGTTGGTCTGGGCTGAAGCCGTGGGGGAAACTAGCCTGCCCATAGCAACCTCCCCTTGACCCTCCTTCTCCACTCCCTCCACAATTCACAGCCCCACTTTCCTTCCACCATGCTGCTGGGCAGGGCTGGCTATTCCCATGTGGGGGAATCCAGAGGGTGAGCTGGGGGATTAGCAAATAGGCATTGGAAGCATTTTCATCTCTTATGCCCGGCCCATCTCCTCCAGGTTTATCTACGAGACAGAGCATTTCAATGGCGTAGCCGAGCTGCTGGAGATTCTTGGCAGGTAATGGTTGCACACGGGCACAGGCAGGCAGGGCTACGGGTAGCACACCCACTCTTACAGGTCTGTGATCCATTCTCTGGGAGCCAATAGTGTGTGCCCCATAAGGATGCAACCTTCCCCTGGGGACATCCTCCCTCCCCATTTCCATGAGTAGCCATTAGAGCACTGTGTCCCTCCAGAAGCAGCTGGGATCCCTGTCCCCATCCTACCACAGTTTATCCCACTCTCAGATGGAGCCAGCACAGCCCCAGAGCCTCCATCCTGGCTCAGCTGCTGGATCTTGATCTCCGTTTTCCCCCCCATCAACTGTGTGTTTGTCCCATCCCCCCCCTTTTACATGCAGCATCATCAATGGCTTCGCCCTTCCGCTCAAGACGGAGCACAAGCACTTCCTGGTGCGGGTGCTGATCCCGCTGCACTCGGTCAAATCCCTCTCCATCTTCCACGCCCAGGTAAGTCCCATGGCCCTGAACTCTTGACCTTCCCCTCCAGGTCAGACAAGGGGTCACCTCCAGGGGCATGAGCTGCAGGAGCCAGCTCCTGAAATGATGTAGGAAATAAGTGATGCCCAGGTGCCAGGGGGCAGAGACTGGGATATGGGGCCTCTCCCCAGGAGGTTCTGGCTCTCCTCTGGCCCCAGAGCAGAGGGCCTAGCTGGCTAGGAGGGCAGGGAATCTGATCTCCCCATCGCTTCTAGCTTGGCAGCCTGGGCAGGGCCTAGGTTTCCTCTCCCTGCCCAGAATCAGGGTTGGGCACAATGCTGGTGAGTGGGAGATGGAAGAGTGGCTGCTGTGGCAATGCCCTAGCTTAGCACCACTGTGTGAGCCACCTGTGTCATTCTGCCCAGGTCAGCGCTGCCTTGGGCCCCTCTGCGATCTGACTTGCCCTGCCCTCCCCGCTCCAGTCCTAGGCTTTGGCAGTCGCCTCGCTGCTTTCCCCTTATGGCTGTCATAGGCCACAGCAGCACTGTTGGCCAAAGCTGGGACCATGTCAATCATGGGTAAGGCCCTACCAAATTCACAGTACGTTTAGGTCAAGTCCATGGTCATAGGTTTTTGAAAACCATCAATTTCATGATTTCATCTACTAAAATTAGAAATCGTATGGTGTAAGTGTAGGGGTCCTGACCCCCAAAAAGTTGGGGGGGTCACAAGGTGGGGGAAGGGTTGTGGTACGGTCGCCCTTACTTCTGCACTGCTGCTGGTGAGGTGCTGCTTTCAGAGCTGGGCTCCCAGCCAACAGCCACCACTCTCTGGTTGCCCAGCTCGGAAGGGTGGCAGTACTGTGACCCTTCTCCCCCAAAATAGCCTTTTAACCCCCCTGTAACTCTCTTTTGGATTAGGACCGCCAATTTGAGAGAGGCTGGTTTTCCCTATGAAATCTGTATAGTAAAGTGTAAAAACACACCGGTCCGGATTTCAGAGACTGTGATATTTTTTTCATGGCCATAAATTTTGTAGGGCCCTAGTCATGGACTCTGCAGATGTGGATTTGTCGTCTTGGGGGAGGGGGAAATCTGGGGGTTTGGGAGATTTCTGGGTCTAGTGCTGCACATGGGGTGGATATGGGGAGTGGACCCCAAGGGTTCTGGGGAGGTATTTAGGTGGTGGTGAAAGCCCTATCTCAGATGCTTTCACTGCTTGCTGATGGGGATCTGACCTCAATAAGCAAGGGAGGAATCTATGGCATGGGGGTCCAATGCAGGGGATCCCTGTCTCTGATGCTGTCCCACCTTCCCTTGCAGCTGGCATACTGTGTGGTGCAATTCCTGGAGAAAGATGCCACCTTGACGGAGCATGTAAGTGCAGCCTGTGACAGAGCAGTGAGATCCAGGGCCCAGCAGCTTTCACTTCTAACCCTCCTGTGTCCCCCTTCCCTTAGGTGATCCGGGGACTGCTGAAATACTGGCCGAAGACCTGCACTCAGAAAGAGGTGGGGCTGGAGCGGTGGGAAGAGGAGTGTGAGAGGCTGGATAGCATAGCGGGGGCACTGGATGGGGCTCTGGATGAGTCCTGGGGATTCTGGGGGCAGGCGCAGGGTGGATCATTGTTGCGGGGAACACTTGATGGGTGGGGGAGACTTGGTTTGTGGGGACCAGGGTGTGTTGGGATGTGGGGGGTGCTTCTCCTACCCTTGTACTTCACAAGGGGAGCTTTGCTTTTCCCACCTGACAGGTGATGTTCCTGGGGGAGATTGAGGAGATCCTGGATGTGATTGAGCCCTCGCAGTTTGTCAAGGTGCAGGAGCCACTCTTCAAACAAATTGCTCGCTGCATTTCCAGCCCCCACTTCCAGGTGTGTGCAGGGTCGGGGGCTGGGCAGGGCCTAGGCCTCTTAGGAGTCTGGGGTCCAGGCTTTCCCCATCCGGGCTCTAGGGGCACCAAGGGGTTGCTGCCCCCAATTAGGAGCTGGGGAAAGGATCCAGACTCAGCCAAGCTGGGCTGGTCCTGAATCCTTGGTCCACTGTCCCTGTTTGGGAGTTGAAGGGGCAAGGGCTGCTCCTCCAGCCACAGTTGTTGGTGCTGAAGGGTCCTTTCTTCAGTCAAAGCTCCTGCTGGTGAGGATCAGACTCCCATAGGGTTCCCTTCTGGGAGAGCATGGGGGAAGCCCCTGGCTCTGATACTGTTCTTGTTCCCTGACTGGAGGGGAGCATGAGAAGATGGCGGGGGGGCAGGAGGAGGAGGAGGATTGTTGGCTCTGACTCAGTAACACTCAGGATGTAAAATCCCCTTTGAATGTTAAGAGGTTAACCTATATGTTTAATTGGTTAACCAACCTGCCCTACCATGGGCAGGGGACTGCTGGAGCAGCCCCCACCCATGGCATGGTGGGCCTGGAGCTGTACACCACAATGGGCCTGGCTGGGCTGGAGCAGCCCCTCACCTGCAGTGCCCCACAGGTGGGAGGCATGGTTGGGCTGCACCTAGTTAAACAATTACCTTTTTACATCTCTAACTAATCCCCCCATCAAAGGTTGGTGAGATAGGAGAGGGCAGTGGGAGTGGGTATTAGGGGGTGGCCCAAGCTCTTACCTAAGCCCCAGTTTGCAGTGCGAGGTTGGGGGACAGACCTTGACTCTGTCTCCCCTCATGCGCAGGTGGCAGAGGGAGTGGGGAGGTGAATGGGGTGGCGGGGCAGCCCCCAGCACTGACCCGGTCTCCCCTATCTCCAGGTGGCAGAGCGGGCTCTGTACTTCTGGAACAATGAATATATACTGAGTCTGATTGAGGACAATTGCCATACGGTGCTGCCTGCCATCTTTGGCACCCTCTACCGGGTCTCCAAGGAGCACTGGAATCAGTGAGTGTGTGGGGGACATGTCTGTCTGCCTGCCCCCTTCAGTGGCTGCGGGGCTCCTGGCACTGGGAATCCTTCTCCTTTTGGAGTGTCTCCTAGAGTCTGTTTCCTGATGGCCTCAACCCCCCCCCCCCCCCAGCTTGTGTAAAGGGCACAGGTAGGGCCATCCCTACTGGCACACATGAGACCATGACATTTGAGGCACCATATTGCCCCAGATTTCATGGTGCCCTAGGCAGTTGGATGTGGCCAGCTCCATCCCTCTGCCACCTCCCTTCCCCCCAGGCTATGCTCAGCCCCATCTCACCTGGCAGAGGTGCAGGCTGGAGAACGCAGGGGGTAGCTGGCTGGCTGGAGAGAAGTGGCAGTTGCCCCTTTTCCTCAGCCAGCTGCGTGGGTGCCTGCTGCTCCTTGGGCCCACGCTTGCACCACTTGCTGCCTTCAGGTGAGCCTCCCTCCTTGCGCTGCTCCAGAGTTTCTGGTGCTGGGCTACATAGGGCACCAGCATGTGTAGGGATGGCCTTACATACAGTGTGGTGGGGTGGGAGGGGGAGGGTCTCGAGTGCATTGAGGTACGAGGGTGTGGAGCCTGGATAGGGGGCTGCAGAGTGGGTGTCTTGGCAAGCCCCATGATGCTTTGCAGGGCTGTGGTGTGACCATTGTGACCAATATCAGGACGTGTTGAGGGCAGAGGTGTGAGGGTTCCCTGGGCAGGGAATCAACATAGGGCTGGCAGCTGAAGCCAGTCACCTCTCCTCCCTCCCCATGCCCACAGGACAATTGTCTCCCTGGTCTACAACGTGCTCAAGACCTTCATGGAGATGAACGGGAAGCTCTTTGATGAGCTCACGGCCTCCTACAAGGTGGAGAAACAGCAGTGAGTTGGGTGCCAGGTGTTGGGGATTGTGGGGCATCCAGATGTTGGAGTTGGGGGCCAATCTCCTCCCCCCACATCCTTAGGCCAGCCCCCTCTATGCAGCAGCCCTGGGGGATTCTGGGAGAGGTGGGCATTCTGCCCAGTCATGTGACCCATTACCTCACACTCCATGGCTATACCTGTGCCTAAGCCCTTGCACAGGGTTGGGCAGGGAGCTGACCTGTGACAAGCCCCTAGCCAGTTTGGAGCAGGCTCCCACTTGTGGTGTGTGGAAGTGGGAGGCCAGAGGATGCTGCCAAGCTGCAGTGTTTGTCCCAGCACTTTGCCCTGGGTTTCCCTGGGGCATGCCCCATTTCCCACAATGCACTGGGGTGCCTGAGGCCATCTTGGTCTGGGTTTCCCAGTGACTCCAAGAGCCCCTGTGAGGGTGCTTGACCCCAGTGCTGCCGTGGATTATCGGCAAGAGGGCCACGTTGGGTGCCACCTTTTCCCTCACTCTGCCATCTTTGTCTCTGCAGGGAGCTGAAGAAGGAAAAGGAGCGTCAGGAGCTCTGGAAGCAGTTGGATGAGCTGCAGCTGAAGAAGCTGCAGGGTCTGGAGGAGGCACAAATGAACCGGCTCAATCTCCAGCACAGCCTGGGCTTGCAGAGTGGCAACAAGAGTTAGAGGTGCCCAGCCAGCCGCCAGCCCCTCCCCTGCCCAGCCTGTGCCAAACCAGAGCTGGCCCCTTCATGCTGCAGGAGCCCATGGCCTCCCAGCCATTGCCATCCCCATCCCCATCCCACCAGGGACATGGATCCAAAATGGGACTGGAGGGAGGCACCCCTGCCTCAGCAATTGCACCCCACTTGGGCTGGCACGTCTGCTAGTCACCTCTCCATGGTGTACACTTAACACATCACCCCACATGACTTCCATGGGTTCTAGCTGGCACAGGGGCATGTTGTTGTGGGTAGCCCCAGTGCCTCCACTCCTTGGGGATGCAGGGCCCAGTATCAGCCCCTTGCTGATGGGGCAGGGCCAGGCTATGTCTTGGGGTAGGAGCTGAGTAAGGATGCAATAGATGTGGGGGATGTGCAGGACCTCTGGTGAAGGGGTCCCCATGGCTGCTGGGGTGAATTGCTGGTGATTCCTCCCTTAGCGGTTACCTATCTCAGCTGTTCTGGTCCAGAGAGCCACCTCTGACTGGCATATGGGCTATAACAAGGGAGCTAGATGGGGGAGCCAGTTTAGCCATGCCCAGTGCAAGCTGAACATCCCAGCCCCCCTGCCATAGTGCAGTGGCTTGTGCCTGGCTCTGCTGTTGCGGATGGATGCCCCTCTCCCGTGTATTTTAAAGCAATAGACCCTCCCATTCCAACCTAGGGTTCCTAATGCAAGAGGGAAGGGAGAAGAGCCCTTTACTAGAGGCTAGGAGTTCAGTTCCTGTCCCCTGCCCCTCTGCAGGATGGGTGTGGGGCTAGCAGAAATGGGCAGGGTCCACTGGTGACCCTGGATGTGGTGAGACTGAGCTGCTGTTATGGGAAGAACTCTGAAAGATGTCAGCTGAGTCGTGCATTGATCCTTCTCCACCTGTCTCCTTGGCTCATTGCTGCAGCCCCTGGGGCAGATCCATCCCTCAGCCCTGGAGTCTGCTGCCCAAAACCTGGCAATTTGCTTAGTGGGACATTTTCTGAGTTCCCCCTATTGTGCACCCCACTTCACTCCCCTACAGAAACAGCTTGGGGGAGATCTCCCTGTCCCATATTAATACAAGCCACAATCCTGACCCCATTCATCAGCACACCCCATTATTCTTGCCATGCCACCCCATCTGAGTTCCCTGCACATACAGCATGGGGGAGATTCCCCCCCATATAGCTGTGCACAATCTTGACTCCCCTGCACAAACATATTTTGGGGAAATTCCCCTGTCACATACCCCCCCATGCCTCAGTAGAATCCAGGCTTCTATAGGATTCTGCATTCTCCCCATCACTGCCCCAAGAGGGAAATTTTTCCCCTGATATAAATGCCCAGATGGCAGGCATGTTGGAGGGGGCGCTGTAGTGCCCCCAGATGGAGGACCAGCTGCCACGGATGTGAGGACAGAGGGAGTTAATGGGGAGGCTGGGATGGGAAGCCTGTTGTCAGCTTCTATCTGACACTTTTTTGGGGGGGAGGGGGGACAATGCTAAAGGAGTGGGAGGAAAGCGGCTGGGGAACTGGACCTGGGGTCCATGAGGGTGTGGGTACCCCTCCCTGGAGATGGGAAGGAAGAGAGCAGGTTTGTAGGCTCAGTCTCTCCTGACTCCCTCCCCCCCCTTGTCTTGGTTCAGCTCTTGGGAGCATATTCCTTATTGCCATGACCCCTCACCCTAGCAGCTGTCAGCTGCTGCCATCACTTCAAAAGTTGCTTCCTTTTCAATTCTTGTTGGAAATGTTTGTGGCAGTCTTTTCAAAACACACCCCTTCTTCAAATGGTGCAGTGTGCAACATGCCCCCAGATCGTACAGTCAGTATACCATCTAAACAAGGAAGGTGTATGGTCCATTCTGCTTTTCCCCCCCATGGGGAGTAATCAAGTCAGTCCAGCCAGCCCCTTTCCCAGCTGAGAGTCTGAATAGACTGTACCATCTAGGGAAATAAAGGGGGGAGGCTGAGAAGATGACTGTTGGAAGTGGTCTTGGAGTGGATTATACCATCTGGCCTCCATTGTTGCCTGTCTGGGTCTAAAGAGGGAGGGTCTGCATATGGAAGGTAGAGAAGGGTGCTGAATAATCTGTACAATTTGGAGGGGCTAAATAGGCTGTGCCATCTCAGGAGATGGGGGGAGAGGAGAGAGGTTTAGGACTGTTCCATTCTGGGAGATGGGGGAACAATATGGAATAGCATTGCTGAGTTGGGGAAGTTAAATGCAAGTCTTCCAACTCTTAACAACTGGTGAGGGGGATTAGACTATATGAGAGGGAGGTTGGACTTGGCCATTCCAGCTATGGGTGCATAGTTTCTACTGTATGAAAGGAAGTGTGCTAAATGGAATCTTCCATTGCTGGGGACAGGAGCAGTTGACTGCTCTGTGGCATATTGAATAATAGACTATACCATTTGGGTGGGTGGGTGTCACCTGAAAGTCCTGAATAGACTGCCATTTGAAGGGGGTGTTGAATAGACTTACCATCTTTGAGTATGGGGGTTGAGAAATGCTCAATTTCTAATCCTGTTGAGCCCATGCTTTTCCATCTTCAATGTCTTAATTTTCTTCCCATCTTCAAGTGCCGGCGCTGGCCAAAAGGCATCCCGGGTATCACATCATGCCCTTGATAGTAGGCATGACTTAAAATATTTAACAGTTCCCTGGTGGGAGGGGTTATTTTTTAATTACTATTTTATTGGTGGGAGTAGTGGGATATTTTTAATTTAAACCTTAATTTATTTGTAGCCACTCACGCCATGCAGTGACTGTAGTAACTGGGTGCACAATTGTCTTAGATACAGCAGCAACGTAGTTACCATGAGAGGAATTGGGTTGGGAATGGACACCAGGGGTTATTTTTGAGGGAGGAGGAATTCAGGGGGAAGGGCTGAGTTTAAAAAAAACAAGAGGTTAAATTACTATATTTAAGATGATTTAAAGTTGCCCTCCTTCCTCTCTCCCTCCCTCCCCTTATTTTTGTTTGCTGGATAAGTCTGAATTCAATAAAGAGATACTTTCATGTCCCTGGGCGTGCTGATTCCGTTCACTAAGTGTTGGGCCGTGAAGGTGGGAGAAGGGGCATATAGGTTGGGGGTGAGTGAGGGTCCCTGGGTTCTTTTCACTGTTACTGGTTTGTTCTGAGACCATGGTCAGATTGCAGAACACTGGATTGGTCCCTTGCTCTGTAAAATGCACTCCCCAGAGGGGGTGGCTAAGTTTAATTGCTGGATGGCAATAGATGAGAGCAAAGTATTAATTCCTCATTGGGTAAAGAGAATCAAGAGTTGAAAAGCAGGGTGGGAAGAGAACTAAGCTTTCCCTGCTAGATGCCAGTTTTCTCCTCTCCCCTCCCCCGGTCCCTCTCCCCGTCCCCTCCAGCTGACAGTAGAACTCTGGACTCCTGGTTCCCAATTCTCCCCTTCACTTTCAGAATTGGTGACTGGGCTGAGAGTGGGGGGTGGGGAATCTTATTTTAGAAGGATATGAAGTTTGATGGGTAGAGGTTGCTTGTGGTCCCTTCTGCTTGGTATGAGGCAGATCCCTGGAGTTTAGAGCTTGCTCTAAATTCTTCTGCAAGGGATGGAAGCAGGAAGACCCTATACATTGTGCCCTGGGGCTGGCCTGTTACCCCTGCCAACAGACAGCAAAGAGGGATTCCAGCATCCCCGAGGTAGGCACCCAGCAATGAATGGGTGCCAACTCTGGGTCAGCAAGACTAGAACCCAGCGCTGTTTGCTCCTTAGAGCCTAGGAAGGGCTGGCCTTGTGGGGAGACCTTGGAGCCCTGGCTTCCACCCCTAGTTCTGTGTGGTGTTTCCCTCATAGCATTTCTAGGGGCAAATGACCCTTCCCAACATGACTGGTATTAGACACTGTAGGGGAATGCCAGGATCTAAAGCTTGTGCCGATAGCAATCTCCATTTCCCGATCTGGCTGCAGCACTGCTATTCCGTCTCCCTAGGCCAGGACTGGGCAAGATGCAGCCCCTGGGTTGCATCCGGTCTGCGTGTTGATCCAGCATGTGGGCTGCATCTGACTGATTTCTATTTATATCCTGCTGCAGAGGCTCAGGTAGTGGAATATTTAAATAATGGCTCCTGGTCACAGCATGACCGTGGAAGGGACCAGAGCTGTGAGCCTTTCAAATAGTCACAGCAACCACTGCCTGCAATAGCAGTGGGGCCAGGAGCTGTGAGCCCTTTGCTCTGTTTTTACTTCAAAGCCTCTAGCCTCAGGCAGCTCTGGGGGGAGGCTAGTTCCCAGCCCTACCCCAAGCCCTGACCCTTCTGGGGGTGGAACCAACCCATGATCATTAAGTGGCCTCCCCCTGCAAAAATGATTACCCACCCCTGCCCTAGGCTGTGCTTTAGTTACACGCCAGGGTGCAGTTCTGATTCTCCCCAGAAGAGGGCAGCAGCAGTCACCCCACTTGAAAGTCTTGTAGAGCAGCAGTTCCCAAATAGGGTCATGCAGGGCTACCCTTAGGCAAATGCAGCTCTGTAAGGGGGAGTGACCAGAGAGCAAGCATGAAAATTGGGGCAGGGAGTGTGAGAGTAAAAGGGGCTTATATAAGACAAAGCTGTAAATAGCAGGATGGTCCCTATAAAATTGGGGCACCAGCAGGTCAGAGTGGGTTGGTGCCTGTACAGCCAGTGTGTGCTGTGGTTTCCTTTGGCAGGAGCCATATTCGCAGACCCAAATCTGCTGGTGTGGTGAGGGAGAGGGGCCTAGGGTCTCTGCAGGGAACTGTGACTCTATGCCCCCATGAGATGAGCTGGGTGGTTTTGTATCCTTTGCTGCCTCATCTCTCCCCACCTGGGCTGCAGCATAGGGAGCTCCGTGTGTGTCAGCACTGCAAGGGGAGTTTGGGGGCATCAGTTTAATAATGCCGAAAAGGACCCCATAAATCCTAAGGATGGCTCTGGGGTTGTGGCTCTCAACTAGGGTCATGCCATCAGCAGGTGGAGTTGGTGCAGGCTGCCATTTAGCTCTGCACTGTGTGTACAGAGTGTGTGAGGAAGATGCCATTTTGCTCTACTGCCTGGTATTCTCCACACAACGTGATCTTGTGTGCTCCGCATGTATGAGGTCGCTCTACATGTATGAGGTCGCTCTGCAGCATCAACCATTTCGTAGAGTAAAATGACCACCTCTGCACAGCATGACTTTGTGGATCACTGTGTGGATGATGCCCTTTGGCTCTTCACAATGGTGTCTTCCATGCTGGCCGGGTTCCTCACAGGAAATACTTTGTTAAAATGAACTTTTGCCAGCAAAAATGTGGGGAATTCTGATCTATAGGGTGGCTGCTGCTAACTCTGCCCCTTTTGTGCTCCCTTCCCCCCCCCCACCCATGGGCAGGAATTTGTATTAAAATATCACTCCCTGGATCAGAGATGGCCATGTGTCACGGGGGGCTGAAGAAGCCCATCTTGTGGCAGCCCCACAGAGAATGCCTGTCTCCAACTCTGCACCCCTGCCCTCTATTCTATTGGAATGTCTCTGACAGCATTAACCCAGTGCATGTCTTCCTGCAGCCACTGCTGGGAGGGGGTGGAGAGAGGAGTGTTTTCCCCCCATGGGCCCTGAGTGGGGGTGGAGATGGAATCAGCAAGCTGGTGCCTTGTCTCAGGGGTGATGCCAATAGGAAACCACCTATAGGAGGATGCTAATGAAACAGAGGTGGGAGACTTGTGCGACTGCCCTGGAGGATGCTGGTAAAATGGAAGCACTGATTGGCAGACTGCTTCCAATTGGCCACTAGGCTGCCAGTAGGGTACTGTGTGTTTCCACCAGTCAGCAGCAGTACCTGCCCCTGTGGACCAGTAGGACCCTACCCTGTGAGACACTGCGCCATGTGCCAGCACTGAAGGCTTTGAATCCTTGGCCTGGTTGCCCCAGCAAGGCAGCAGCTGCCAGCCACTTTCTGGTCTGCAGGGACCTCCACTGATCGTGCCTTCCTACCCCTGCTAGTTTGCTGCCCCTGCAGGAGAGTGGTCTGGACTGATGGTGGGTGGGGAGGTGGGACAGCCTTTGGAGAGGGGCAGGTCTCCCTGTATCATCCCACCAGTGTGCTCTAATCAGAATAAAGTTTTCTAGCTGGTTCCGTACACAGAAATCAGTCCCCCTGCTCTCCGTCCCCCACTCCCATGTCTAGTTCCCCCCTGCCACAAGCCCATGCCCTCACCTCCACCATCTGTGCAGAGCTTGCTGTTAAGGCCAGTGGCTCCTGGTTTGGGAACACAATGGCTTGAGCCCAATGGAAATGGGGTGGTGGCTACACATCAGATATCTGAACCACCTACATACTTGGCTGGAAGATGAGGCCCTTTACACAATCAGACTCTGGGAGCAGGGCACCAGCAAGAGGCTATAATCAGGAGAGGCCCAAGGGACAACCACAGCCTTCTTTGCAGGTGTTAACTTTTCCACCAGTGCAGTGAGGGTTGCTTGCCCTATTTCAAAGGGGGCAACTCAGGCACTGAATGACAACAGTCACGTGTTGAGCACAGAATAGTATCCATGAGTTCTGGCTCCCCTCTTCAATTGCTCTAACCCCTACACCCGAGTCCTCTCCAGAACCCAAAATAGAGCCCTGGAGTCCTGATACCCAGCCCCTTTGGCTCTAACCCACTAGATTCCACTCCTCTCTCAGCATTGAGAATAGAATCCAAGAAGCCTGGCTTGCAAGCCCTCAGCTCTAACCACTAGGCAACATTGCCCTCAAAGAGCCAGCAAGAGAACCTACAAGCCTGCCCTAGATCCCACCCAAAGTTGGGACTGAATTATCGCCTGTTCATGGACTGAGCTTTGGCCACTGGTCTGCTCTGGCTCTTCCTCAATAGACTAGAGATCCCTGGTAGAACATTAAACCCTGGTGGGGCCATGGTCCGAGGATGAATTTGGCTGAGCATTTCTATAACTTGTACGGAAACCAAATGGGGATTTAGCACCTATGAATTAAGAACTAGAGGAGATGCTGCTTCTTGCATCCAGCAGACCTGGCCACTGGGATTGTAGAGATTCAAGAAGACTGGGATTGTTTTAAAGTGCTGCTTTATTTGAGCAGCTGGGCCTGACACATTTAAGCAGCTCAGCTGGGAAAGTTCATTTGGCACAGAAACTGCTGGGCAAGGTAAAGTCTCTTCATCCTGATCATTTATGTTAATAGCTCACATACTACAGCACTCAGCAAGAGAGAGGCAACACAGGTAGCTTTACCCAGTGGAGCAACATTATTCAGTTAGGTTACGTCTACACTGCAATGCTATTTTGGACTACCAGGCTATGTCTACACTGGCATGATTTTCCGGAAATGCTTTTAACGGAAAAGTTTTCCGTTAAAAGCATTTTTGGAAAAGCGCGTCTAGTTTGGCAGGACGCTTTTCCGCAAAAGCACTTTTTGCGGAAAAGCGTCCGTGGCCAGTCTCGACGCGCTTTTCCACAAAAAAGCCCCAGTTGCCATTTTCGCGATCGGGGCTTTTTTGCGGAAAACAAATCTCTGCTGTCTACACTGGCCCTTTTGCGCAAAAGTTTTTCGGAAAAAGACTTTTGCCCGAGTGGGAGCAGCATAGTATTTCCGCAAAAGCACTGACAATCTTACATGAGATCGTCAGTGCTTTTGCGGAAATTCAAGCGGCCAGCATAGACAGCTGGCAAGTTTTTCCGCAAAATCAGCTGCTTTTGCGGAAAAACTTGCCAATCTAGACACAGCCCTGGAGTATCCTGAAATTGCTATCCCATGTCTTCACAGCAGGCCCGTTATTGCGGGCTCTCTATTCCAACGTCCCTGTAAACCTCATTCCACGAGGAGTAAGGGATGTTTTGGAAGAGCGGGCCAGGCCTCGTGCACATAGCCTTTACATTGACAAGCGGGTTATTTTTAAATTTTACAAAATAAGCTATTTCAAAATAAGATCAAAATAAGATACACAATTTGTGTAGTGTAGATGTAACCTTAGAGTCCTGGCTAGAGATCAGGATCAAGATCAAGGCCCCCATCGGACCAGGTAGTGCACAGACAGCGTGAGAGATGGTTCTTGCCTTACAGAGCTCACCGTCTTAATAGGCAGATAATGGGAGGGCCAATTAAAACTCAGTAAGAAGAAGAAGCATGAGCACAATCACATAGCAGGTCAGAATTCCAGATAGCCTGCCTCAGGCTACCCACTACACTGCACCCTCTGGCAGGTGCAACTGGTGAGGGGGAAACATCACTCCCCCAGCCCAGGGAATGGCCAGGACAATCCCCCCTCTGCCCCAACCCCTGCTTCTCCCTGTCACTGCTCTGCCCCCTCCCCACCCTTGCTCCACTCTCTCCCTGCCTCTTCCCCACCATTGCTCCACCATACCTCACCTCTTCCCCCAACCAAGGCGGCCCAGGGGAATAGCAGGGCCAGGGCTGGCCCCCCCTCCTGCATTCACTGGTGGAAGTGGGGGGTAGCAGAGCAATGTTGCCCCAGCTCATTCTGCCTCCCCCCCCCCCCCGCAGTGCCTACAGGGGTGATGCTGCCCCTCCCACAAGCGACATGCCAGGAAAGCAGAACAAGCTGGGGCCATGTTGCTCTGCTTCCACTACTGCTGCCAACGAGTGTGGGGGAGGCAGAGCCCCTTGCTAGTCCCCTCGCCAGCTGCCGGCCAGCCAGCTATGTCTCTGGCTTTGCCTGTGGTACACCCATATGAAAGTGAGCAATGTGGACCTACCCTCCTTTCACAGACTCTCTAGCAGCCTAGGTTCAGGGTCTGTGCTCGGATTGTCTTCTTGGTAAGTACGGACCTACCCTCCTTTCACAGGCTCTCTAGGAGGCCTAGGTTCAGGGTCTGTGCTCGGATTGTCTTCTTGGTAAGTAAAGGGGCCTTAGCAGGTTCTGTTTGTTACTGGGTCAGGATTCAGGCAGGTCTTACTCATGCAGGGATCTTCCCTGAGAGCAACAGTCATCTCAGGCACCACAGCAGGAGCTGATCTCTTTGCTGGGGTCAGGAAGGAACATATTTTGTGCTCTAGCCGGATATATTAACCTGAGATCAGGCATTGGCTTCTTGGCAGCACGGCAGAGGGGAGAGGAGCCCATGACTTTCTCTAACTTGGCCCAGCCTACAGAGAGCAGCCTGGTGGGGGAGCCTGGCTCTCTGGTTTCTTCCTGGTGGGGGCGTATCTGCTGGAATGGGATCTGTTTGCAAACATAAACCTACAGCAGCAAGCTGGCAAACAGAAGCTCTTGGTAAAGCTGGGAGCAACAGTGGTGCCCCGCGAGTGGCAAAGCAAGCGTGGTGTGGACTGCAGTGGCCCCGGAGGACACGTAAATATACTCAACTCTAGACAAGCCCAGCCTGTGGGTTCCTGGGTGTCGCAGGAGAGGGCCTCCCTGGCCCAGTCAGTAGCGGGAGAGGCGGCACATGTCGCACTGGCAGCTCCTGGCGGTGAAGATCTCCATCTCTTTGCGGCGGGTGACCCCGCAGTGCAGGCGGACTTTGATCTGTGGCAGTGGAACGGGAGGGTGAGAGAGGGATTGGTGCCACAGCCCTGTGCCCTCCCTGAATTCCAGGCCCTGGCACAAATTAGAGAGCAAGTGCCATTTCCTATGATTCCTTGGGAGTAGTGAATGGCCAGAGAATGGTGCATTCCGGCCATGCCCTTTCCTTCCACAATGGCTGGCAGGGATGGATTCTGAAAGGGCCACAGAGGAGCCCTGCACTGGACCAGGCAGCACTGCCCCGTGCCAGCCACATCATTCGTGTGATCGTAGCATACACCAAATCCTCAACCTAGCTGAGAATCAGCCTGGCTGTGTCCATCCAGCTTCCCCTGTGAGCTTCCATCCCAGCTGCTATTTCGGGGAGCTGGAGAAACATTGGAGAACTAGTGGATTCCCCCTACCTGTCTGTCCTCTAGATCTCTTCTCCTTCTTGCTTCTATGTGTCATCCCAGCTCTTGCATGCACCTTGCAGCCCCATGTTCCCTGGTCTGGCTGCATTTGTAGGCCCAACCCCACTCACCTTCTGCATCTTGCTGATGGTGCAGCACTGGGACACGGAGGTGACATTGTGTCTGAAGCTGCTGGCCAGCAGGATGGAGTACTTGGAGGGGAAGGCGCTGGACTCGCAGTAGCCCACACAGGCCTGGACCACATGGGTCCCCCGGCAGGTCCCACGGCGGTCACTCTTGATGGTAACATCAAATGCTATGGGGAGAGGGGAGAGTTCAGTCTTCATGGCCTGGGCAGCCCTCAGTGTCTGTGCTCATGAGTTAAGGGCTGGGCTGAGAAACAACTAACTCATTTTGCACCAGGGCCACAGAATGGGCATAACCCTGCTGCTTGGGATTCAAACTGGCAACTTTTGGATCCAAAACACCCAACTTCTGCCAAGTGCTCAAGTGGCTTGACAGCCATGAACATCCCTGTAAAGAAGAGGTGTGCAAAGTCAACTGTGGGGGGTGGGGGCAGGGATGTATAATGATTAGAGCAGAGGGACTGGGAGCTAGGGCTCTTGGCTTGTAGTTTTGGTTCCGTCACAGACTATGCATGACCTTGGGGCCAACCCACTTCTCCTTTCTGTGCTTCAATTTCCCAGTCTGTAAAATGCAGCAATGTCACGAAGCCCGTGGTGGTGGGGGATGGGAACATCAGACCCAGGGTTAGGGAGATCCTGGCTCTCTGGTGTCATGTTCAGTCCCTGGTATAGCTCCAAACCGCCCTCCCCCATACACACATCCTTACAGTGCAGATGGCATCCAGGCCTCACGGCCTCATTGCTCCAGTAGGGGGAAGCCATCAGGATCAGCAGCAGGGAGATGATGGCAGCATGGCAGGATGGCAGGAAGTGGCACATGCTAAGAGCACAGAGTCTCTGTAACAGAAGTGGCACATGCTAAGAGCACAGAGTCAGGTCAGCAGAAGCTGGAGAGCAAAGCGGTCGCACAGCCATCCTCTGCCGGCTGGAATCTGCATCTCTGAGCTGTGTGTCCTACCTTCTATACTGCTAAGTGGGATTTCTCTCGTTTTTGGGAAGAGAAGAGGCTGTGACATGTGTCAGGGACCCCCTGACCCTGCACCCCCATCCACAGCAAGATGTGACTCTGCCAGCCAGTAGAATAGAGAGGGTTTATTGCTGCTCTGAGATACAGCACAGCATAGGACCAATGCAGGCATAAGAGGATAGGCTGACAGCCCTAGTTCCCTTGGGGGAGGGGGTACAGGCCCCTGGACCCACCCCCACACTGGTTAGTCTGCTTCCTCCATGCTTCCCTTATCCTTCCTGCCCTGGGGCTACCTGGCTTTTGGCTGTCCTGTCCCATCCCAACTAGAACTTCAACCCATAACCCTTCCTTCCCCAGGTGAGCACCCTAGCCCCTAGGCCACTGCCCCACTCTCTGAATGGTAGGGTGCCCTTTATCCCTCCTGCCCCCCTGCCTGGCTTTTGGACACTCCCACTGCCCTTCTCCAAACCACACCCTTCCTTTGTTCAAACCCCTTCCCATGTCAGGTGAGAACTGGTTGGGCCATGGCCTACCTGATATGAGGGCCCTCAGGGCGACCCTCACTGATCAGTGCTCACAGACGCAGGCCAGTAGGGGTCACCCAGAGCCCAAGCATAGCGACCAGTGAATGCCCAACCAGAGTGTACAGCACGCCCCACCTACATCACAATGTGCTAAGGCAAAGGGCACATGGACCAAGCTTCCGAGTCTGGGCTCTGGCTATGTCCCATTGCCCCTCACACTCAGTTTCATAGATTCCAAGGCTAGAAGGGACCAACTGATCATCTAGCCTGACCCATTGGACAGCACAGGCCAGAGAATTCCCACACTCACTCCTAGAGCAGCTCTTTTAGAAATACATCCGGTCTTGTCTTAAAATGGTCAGCGATGGAAAATCCACCTTGCCCTGGGGAACGTGGAACTTAATTATCTTCACTGTTAAAAATGTCGCCTTGTTTCCAGTCTTTCTCTGCTAGACACAAGAGCCTACTGTTAAATATTTGTTCCCTAGGTAGGTCCTGCTACCGTGTGATCAAGCCACTCCCGTTAACCTTCTCTTCGATAAGATAAATAGATTGAGCTCCTGGAGTTTCACTATTAGGCAGGTTTGCTAATGCTTTACTTGTTCCCATGGCTCTGCTCTGAACCCTCTTCACTTTATCCACATCCTACGTGGACTGTGGACACCGGAACAGGGGGCAGGGTTCCTGGAGTGACCACACCAATGCCAAATAAAGAGAATAACTTTTTTTCTTCTCCTTGAGATTCCCTTCATTAATCCAGGCACCACGGAGCCCTTTTGGCCACAGCCTTGCACAGGGAGCTCACATCCAGCTGATTTCTCTCGCCCTCCCCCCCAAATCTTTTCAGAGCAGCAACTTCCCAGGACAGAGTGCTTCGTCAAGTCATCTGTTTAGACCTATCAAAACACGTACTGGTTGCTTGTGCCCGCTCCCTGGCGTTTCGGCCTCACGCTCTTCTACCTGGAGTAAAACTGCAACAGAGAGAACCCAGGACAATAGATTTTCCTTTTCACTGTAGCAAGCTCTTTCCACTCAGCTTCGCTTGTGAATCAAAAGAGCAGCAATCAAGGGGGGGATTGGCTAGTATGTGAGGCATGCAGAAGGGAGTCAGCTCTTCTAGTTTCTATCACTAATTCTGGGAGAGGAGGCTTGCGGTGAGAGCAGGGGCTAGGGCCTCAAGATTCCTGGGTTTTAATCCCAGGCCTATTAAGTACATTGGTTAGTGTGGGTATGTGAGCTGGGGATTATTTCTTCTATTTAATAATGACTATTCTCTCTCCACCTACAAACTCTTCCTGTCCCCAGGATTCACCAGACCTGGGAACCTGCTCTACCTTCAGTGCAGCTGAGACCCCAGCTCTTCTACCCCCGTCAACTCCCCATAGCCAGGTGTATATCCTACCATCTGTCTGTAGCTGGCAGGGAGTCCACAGCAGAGGTTTTTAGCAGCTCTCTTGCACTGGGTCCTGTTGGCAGCTCCCGAGTCATGGTATCCTGCTGCAAGCCCTCCCTCCCTATTTCTAGCTCAGGTATTTGCATCTCCACACCTCAGCCTGCCCCTTTGGGACTCTTTTCCCATCTCCACCCCATGCCCCGCCTCCACCAGCCCTCCCAGCTAAGAAATAGAAATTGCTGTCTGCATTTCCAGAGCTACTAGCCTTTTCAGAGATCCTATCCCCTCAACCCAACCAGCTTCCTAGGCCGAGCCCTCCCTAGCTCCAGCTAAAAAGGGTTACTATAAATTTCCTTCCTATTAAAACCATCAATTCGGGGGCAGTGTGACAAATAGTTTGTTAGTGTAGTAGAGAGTGCGTGTGCGTGAGAGAGAGAGAGAGTAAGAATGGGTGCCACTGCCTTCTGTTGGATGGAATTGGAAAGACTCAAGCATGTGTCATAAGCCCTACATTGCTAACAGCAAATGGGGATTATCTGTGAACTCTGGTTTGTAGAAGGAAAGGCTGTGTGTGCAGTCTAGTGACAACAAGGGTGCTGCTAGATTTGTAGGTCTTGTTTTGATCCCCCTGAAGTGGCTAGTTTGAAATGTATTTAGGGGTGTGCCCTCGGAGTCAGGGCTACAATGGTATTCAATATCACGCAATTGTAGCAATTGATGGATCTTGCATGAGACAGCACCTTCCATTCTGACAGATCAAAGACCACAGTGCAAACTATGTATATGCCCCCTTTTACCTCCCAATGAGATGCAGCTGCCTCTGGGGTGGGGGTGACACATACACCCACCAGTGAGATGCAGCAGTTATTTATCAGCATCAAGGCAGCACTCCCCACCACACTGAAGACTGTAAGTGGAGTCTTGTTCCTACTGGGGGAGAACAGGATGCCAGAAAAGAGTCCCTCACCCTGGAGTTTGGGTAGGACTCCAGGTTCACATGCCCACTGCTGGGGGACTGAGCCAGGGATTTTTAATGAGTGGTGGTGATATGGGTCTTGCATATCATCTCACAGACAGGATGCTGCGATCCAGAGAGCTAGTGAATGGCACGCGCCCCCTCAGACCAAAAAAACTGCTTGAAAAATTATGTCTTCCTGCAGGCAGCCTTCCAGTTCAGGGGCACAGCAAGTCCCCTGCCAGACGCCGGGCGTGCATCCGACTGCCGGTGCATTAGGGAGATAATTGTGTTGCCGTTGCAAGATGTGCCCATTTATTACTAATAATGATTTCTCCACTCTGATGCAGGTCACTCTAGGTCACAATTCTGGCTCCACTGGTAGCCCAGTGAAGAACAGTGGCTTGCCCCTATCCAGTGGCTCTTCCCTGAGTATCTAGGTGTATTAGTTAATTAATACATTAATCAGTGGTTTCTAGAACCCAGCTTGGGTGGGTCACCGCCCCGCTTTGTGTCTCAGCTTTCCCATCTGTGATTAAAAGGGTAATTATAATCTAAATAAGAAAGATCATCCTCACATTCAGGTGGGGAAACTGAGGCCCAGAGAGGTTCAACAACTGGCTCAGGATCATCTAGGGAGACTGTGGCAAAGCCAGGAAGTGAACCTAGATCTCCTGAGCCCTAGTCCCATGCCTCAACCCTCACAATTCCTGCTCTTCTCCATCACTGAGCTGTCTCTTGCTTGATATGGGACGGTGCCAGCTCTGCAGAGATCCCTGAACCTTCCAGGAAAAGGCTGGACAGGGAGACAGTGTTGTACAATGGTTAGTGTGCTAGGCTGTAACTCGGGACACTTGAATTCATTCCAGGATCTGTCTTGGGTGACCTTGCTGTGTACTTCAGTACTTTAAAAACAATAAGTATTTTTCTGGCTCTGCACTGGGGTGGGTCTCAGTAAGATGGGGAAACCGAGGCATGGAACTGGGGCAGTGACATGTCCATGGTGAAATAGTGGCTGATCCTAGAGCAATGGATTCCAACAGGGAGGCCAAGTAGCTGGAAGATGAAGATAGGCCAATTGAAAAGTAGGGAATTAACCATTGGAACAGCTTCCCAAAGGAAGGGTTGTGGGTTCTCCATCACATCCACATCCACTCTTGATTTAAAAATTGCTGGTGTTTCTAGCAGGCCTATTCTGCTTCTAACCTGAGTCAATTCAGGGATGTCTTATGGCCTGTGCTATATGAGTCAGACCAGAGAAGGCCAGAAGGGACCCCTGGGATCATCGTGTATGAAAATGGCAGCCTTCTCCTAATCTTTACTAACAGGTTTGATCTTGCTTCTGAAAGCTGAATGCAAGCCTGCCACCCAGAAGAGTGGGGGGAGGGGAGTTTGCGCACCAGGGGAAGGAGGGAAGGAGCGGGGGATCCTTCTCAAAAGAACAAAGGGACCCCCATGTCTCCTAGAGGAGAGTAAATTCAGCTGTGGGGGTGACAAGCTGTTGAAGCCAGCCTGGAAATGGCTGGGAGAGGAGAACTGTTTTAAAGAATCTTTTTCAAGTGGAAAAAAACAATGTGGGTGGTTTTGTTTGAGGGTTTGGTGGTGGTCTTTATTTGCTATGCCCAGTAGGGCAAGACTGTCAGAAGCCCTGGCAGACAGAGAGAGGCTGCCCCTGCCCTAAAGGGGTCTCAATCCACACAGTTAAAAGGATAATTGGCCTTATTTTTAGGTGAAAGCAAGGCCAATTCCTGCACCTTCCATGGTGCAGGGAAGTGACTTGCACAAGGCCACCTAAGGAGTCAGTGGCGTTTTTAGGTGAAAGCTGAAGCATGGTGCAGGGAAGTGACTGGCACAAGGCCACCTAAGGAGTCAGTGGCAGAGCTCACAGTCAACCCCAGCATTTCTGCAGCTTAGTCCAGCCCTTTAGCTACAAGACCATCCTCCCTGCTGTAAAAATATTGCTGGCCTGTCATTATGTAGGGGCTTATGGATTTAGGATCCTGACTCTTCAAATTTTAAGGATCAAATTTTCCAAGCTGCCCAAGCCCTGGTTTCAAAAGTGACTCGGGCTCTGGCGAGTCACTTTTGAAAATGGGGCATAAGCATTATTGGAGAATGGGACCCTCTCTATTGTGAGGTCACTAAACCAGACACTAACTTGATTAGCCGATCTCTGCACAGCACCAAAGGCTCTTAACTCCTCTCCCCTCCAAACCAATTAAATCCTTCCAGGAGAGTTGAATTAAACGAAAGGGGGTTGTGACTTAACATGTTGGGAAAGAGCAGGGAGAAGGCTCCAGTTCTTTACCAGCCCCTATTTTTATCACCCAGACAGATTTTAGGCATCAGATTAAGTTCAATATATAAACCTGCCATTGTTGAATTGAGTCCTGGGGCTAACGGAGAGTTGCTTTGGAAAGCTTAATGCTGCGTAAAGACTGGAATTTGGCTGCAGGGGCTGCTATGTCAGACTTCCCTGGATAAAGAGGGCTTTGAAAAGTGGAGGGATGCTGGCGTGACTGACTCGAGCTGGGATCTTGGAGGGGATCATCGGCTGTGTCTCAAACAGCACATTTGCTTGTGTGTTTCAGCTCAATCCATCCGTGTCTGGGGTGGAGCGGGGCAGTTGCTTGGCAGGCAGGCATTTTAAGGGAGGAAATTAAGTCTCTTGAAACAACGAAGGGTTGGTTAAGAAGCACAAAATGCTGGAGCTGGAGCTGGGCTGGAGTGCCAGAGTTCAGCTTTGGCTGTGGAAGTGCCAAGGGATTTCTGAAACCCACAAGGGTGGTGGCTTCATGTTGAATTTCAGATAGGACACCTCTGACAGACACCACCATTTCTGCCTCCTGATTCTGGCCTGTGAACACCTCCTCGCTTTGAGCTGTTCCTTGCTCCTGTTTCCCAAGGGCTCAGCTCCCACAGATTTCCAGAAGTTTGCTTCACTACCAGCCCAGTGGTGGATGCTGAGCCCTCAGAAACCCCTTGTTCTGAGCTCTTTGGAAAAATCTAGCCCTGGACAGCTGATTTGCAGTGCAGTAAGCAGATCTTCCCTCTGCTATTTTCAAATGCAGCATGGGTCATACCTGACGCTAGCCAGATTCTACTCTGGTAGAGATCAGGATCTGGCCCTTGGTTCCAGGGAAGACAGCAGAAGATCACTGCAGAAAAGTAACTGTATCCTGCATCAAGCCATCTCTAGCACCCCTGAGCTTACAGTTCTTTCTGTAAAAGCCATAGATGCTTGTGTGTGCACGTAGTTGGCCCTAGAAAAACTTAGAAGAAATGATAATGCAAAAAGAGTCGTTACAATAAATATTTCATGGGGCTATTTCTGCATTACTCTCAGCCTGTGGAAATACCAATGGTCTACTCACCGTTAGGCCATTCAAGGAGCCAAGCATATGTCAATATCTCTTTGCTTCTTTTATCTCTCCTAAATACTCATCTGCACCCTCCCCTAATGTCTAGGTACCCCTCGATCTTAAATGGATTTATCCCAATGCATCCCTGTGAGGAAGGGCAGTGCTGTTATCCCTATACAGTATTAGAGATGGGAAAACTGAAGCATAGGGGCTCTTTTGCCCAAGATCACACAGGGACTCTGTGACTGAATAGGGAATTGAACCCTGGTCTCCCATGACCTGGGTGAGGTACATAACTGACTAATCCCTGCTTACTGATTGGTTAATTGCTCCAGGCTACAGCTGTGAGGTCTGGTTTTTAAAGGGTGGAGGGATGGATTGTGGTTTGCAGGAGAGAGAGGACCAAGTAGCTGAGTTCTGCTCTGGGTTTGAATGCCCCAATGTCCAAGGAAAGAGCACGTTACCTTGGATTGATAGCGGGGCTGCTTTTTGCTTGCTTGTAAACAGCAGAATTGCTCATGCCAGGGCACTATCTGTTCTGCTTCCACTGAAGCCCATGAGAGCAGCTATGAATGTACATAGCTGAAATCAGAATCAGGCCTTGATCCCGCTGTGGGCAGTGGGTGACTCTGGATTGACCCTGGGGGATCTGAGATCAGAATCAGGCCCATTAGATGTTATACAGTGTGGCCAGCTGTGCTGGTCCCCTATGGAAGTGCCCTACTGCTGACCCCTTGAGAGCAGGGAGCCCTGAGGGTGGGGGATGTGAGCAGGCGGGCAGCTGCCTCCCTTGAATGAC